TTTCTAGTAAATTGTTAAGAATTTATCAATATGAAAGCGATTGAAATCATGAAACTGGTTCATCAGTTCCACATATACTTTTTCTTCGCTATATATTTTTGTCCAAGCCCTGACTTTTCTTCGCAGCTTTTCTCAAAAGTTTTTGCAGCCGTTTTGCGCTAAGAGATAAACGCCAAATGGAAATTCCGACATATACGGTCTGGCAAAAGCAGATAAATTCTCATAACTGGTAGAATTCATATCACTAGTAGAGCACGAGAAACTAAATAAACAGAAGTTAACTCGGAATTAATTAACGTATATTGCGCCCGCCATCAAAGACGATGAGTTATTTCATACAATTTCCTGCACGTTTGCTCGGTACCTACTGGTCTTGTATCATCAAAGCAAAGTGTTCGGAACTTCACAGATCTCTGTTATGGAAAATACTGATTCAATTAGTTTTAATTACTATCAGATTACAGAGGTAAGATAATTATTACATATTACTCGAAACCATTTATACGGGTAGAGCATCGCTCCTATACACGGATAAGAAACCGATTTCATGACTGCGGTATTAGATTCCATTGCATTTATGATTATATTAATTATTAACTTCCCGTGGGGTAAGTTATAGTAATGGGCTAGAAATCGAAAATGCAATTTTTTGCATATCTTCACGTTTTAGAGATTTCTGAACTTCAGAAAAATGCATGTGTGTGAGTGTATGTATGTGTGGATACAATTTTTAGTCGACGTTTTCGGTAGTACCGCTCAACCGATTTGAATGATTGAAAAAGTAGTCGATTCCTACTGATGGGGATTAGTGGTCATTAGTTTTTGGGAAAAAATCGGACCAGCCGTTTCCGAGATCCGAGAGTGTAGAAAATGGTACTCTTTCTGGAAGAATCCCCAGTTCGGAATTTCTGCGGGAATACCCGGTTAACCGGGTATCCGATTGGAATGATTCAAAACACATTCAAAACAATTCGAAGTGATAGAGAGTGTGAGGTGATTAACTTTCGCAAAGACAGGTCCACCCGTTTCGGAGATACGGAGCAAAATGTGTAAAACATGTCAGTTTTTGAGAGAACAAAGCATTCCATTTAAATGATTTAGAACACTTTTTGCTTCTGTTTTTTCAATTTCAAAAAAATATTTTTTTTAATATCAAAAATAATTCGAATTTTAATTCCAATACAAGCTAAAGTTCTATAGCTTACTTATATATTTCAAACAAATAACTTTAACTTGGCAATTCAGTTTATATAATTCTTATAAATACTTTACAATGTTTTTCATTTTAAATTCGATTGATTAAGTTTCATTTATTGAGTCATAACTTTTGACTGTGGTCCTAAAAATGTCATTTGCGGTTACAAAACCAAGATTTAAATGAACAAAATTAATAAAACTCAATTACAATAACCGAAAATTAGCCACAGTTCTATCAATGCTCTAAAATGCACTTAAAAGTTTAAATTTGTACATGGAATTTTATTTTATGATAGTTGAGGACTATAAGCCTTTAAGTGCAACCTGGAGCTTTGGCAAAATTGTGTTAATTTTTGAAGTAAAACTCCTTTATGCGCGGCTAGGTTGTACATCTGTACAAATGCAACGGAAGTCCGTTACTGTTTATCATTCGCTCTCGATGAGATCAATTCTATACGGGTCGATTGTGATTAGCCGTCGTGTATGTGAATATCTGTCGCTGTATGCGTGCCGGCATCAACTTTTTATGCGTACCAATATCAACAAGGAAATTGGCATAGATATAAATAAACATTTTAAAGTTACATCGTATTACCAATATCGATTTAATAAAAATGCCTGAATAAGAAAAATAATTTACTCTGTTTCTTGAAAATAATAAAACAAATTAAATATTTGGGCCGTGTACTAAACGCAAGTTTATTAATTAGATATTGTTTCTTAGGCAAGACAGTTACTATAGCTGTTCAAAGTATGAGATCATATCGCCAACAAAAAAGTAAAAAATTACAAGAAGTCAATGAATGAATGTTAATTTTAATTACATGAAGTTCTTCAAACTCAATTACATGATGATTTATTTGTTTAGGCGTTGTTTAACATAATCCACTGTGTGAACGCATATTATAGAATTTATTAATCAACAATTACTTCATTTTTCTAATGAAGGTTCATTTCTAAATATTAATTACAATGACAAACTGATCATGTCATATTTGAAGTATGATTTTAATTACATTATTGTTTTTAAATAATATACATATTTTTAATGCTATTTTAAATATATTTATAATTTATCATTATATAAATGTGTATAATGGTTGACATTAATAAATGTGTGCATCACGAGTGTTACCATATTACTAATAAACATTATTCAAAATTTTTATATGATGTATTTAATTTTAATTAAATGCCATCTTGTACAGTAGCACATAAGTTTTACTTCAATCGCGTGTGAACCTTAGGCTTACGATTTTTTGTTTGTTTCGACCTATTTCTATTAAATTTATTCATTTAAACTTTCAATATGTGATAGCATATAACATTTCTAGGACCACAGCAAAAAAATAATGACACAATTGCCTCAAGTTTTCGAGAATTCAAACTCTTTGATGAATTATGAATTTGAGAAAAAAGTGAAGTGTCTTAAAATTGGTAGAATTTTAAAAGCATTCGTTTAAAGAAAACTAAAGTGTGTTGTCAAGTTCCAAATGTAATTTGCAATTCTTTACTCATATGGTCTATTTTCAATTGGAGACACATTTGTGATCCTTATTTTCATGGAAAATGGAGATTACTTCTGCATGATTTAAAGTTGTCTTGAACGCAGGTTTGAATTCATATATGTATATACATATATGTGTACATTGACATGTGTATATATACGTAGGAGTAAATATCTTTGAATATTTTCTATATTCTGAACTTCATACTCAGCGGTGTCATTACTCAAACATGACGCGGAGCGCGCAGTGCGCCTACGACTTTGAGTTCACCATTCTCTCGGCACTCACAGTGAGAATATGTGAGAATTTTTTCCTTTCATTTTATTTATTTATTTTTTCTGTTTGCTGTTAGTTTGAAATATGCAAAATGCGAAATATGGAAGCGAACCGTCTATGGCACGACCTCTTGCGGTTTGGGAATAAACATATAACTGAGTGCCGGAAACAAAGTAGAATTTAACGTCGGTCCCACAGCGCATTAAGAGAATTTATCATTGCATGTCCGACAAAGATAGAAAAAATATTTTGTTATCCGTAAAAGTTCTGGTCAGTTCATGTAGAAAAATGATGATTAATGAGTTCGAAACATTTATTAGATAAAGGTAAAAATAACACAGTACGTAAACAAATATATCAATTAGTGATGAAAATAAAACACGTGTATGTGATGTATTGTTGAAGTTATGAATTCAAAATGCTTTTTTTTGTTAAACCGTGAAGCCTTCTTCAATTACACATAGAAAAAATTGAAAATAATGTGGACTATTGTAAATGACATCCGTAATTGTTCATATTTCATAGAAATGAAGAATGAATTGATATTCAAATTTTTACTCTAAACAAGAGATCAAGCACAACTATAGTTTGTATATTATTTATATACAGATATACTTCATCTATGCAGTTTAATTATTGCTAGTTCATTTATTGCTAAATTGCTTAAGATTGTTATATTATAGCTTTCCACTGTATGAATGAATATTATAAAATTCATTTATCAGCAATTACTTCACTTCTCTAATAAAGGTTCAAGTCCTAAATGCTAATTACAATGACAAACCGATCATGTCGTATTTGAAGTATGACTCTAATTACATTATTAAGTTTTCAAAAAAAAGTCAACTATTGTAATGATATCCATCATTATGCATATTTTATAGTACTACTTCTTTACGCACATGAGCCAACCATGGTAAGAACTTGGATTGTAGAGTCTAATTCAGGATTTGATTCCAACTTGGGGTGGCTTGATATCGAGCAGTCTGATATCAGATTATCAGTTGATATTATAAACCTTAAATGCAATACATTTGGTGGCATACATTATCCAATGAAAAGGGTAGGCAAAAACTATGGAGAAAAGTAGTAAGGCAAAAAAATTTGCTCCCAGCTAATTTTATAATATTGATCATTAATAAAAAGAATATATGGTGCCCCATATACTTATTTCCAATTCAATGAGATAAAATTGTAAAGTAGTGTAAAATCACATAGTGAAAAATGTAATAAAGTTAAGAAATATGCAACAAAAACAACTCATAGAACCTATTTCCAGTTACAATGCAATATATATCATATTCTATTTCCAGTTGCAATCCAATATATATCATAATGAATATTTTGTATAATCTAAATGCTCAAGTTTTTATTCAAGATGTTTCAGAAATTGATTATATATATATAATCATTTCTGTTCCAAAATTATTCAATGATTGACCATTATTTTTCTATAATTGCAGAGCATAAACATACTTTGATATAAAATTGTAAAATTTTGGTAATATTCGTAATGATGAAAATTCAGAATAAATATTATATTGCACTTTAATCAGCTTAATTTTCAGAAATTCTTATTTTTTTCAATCGGTATGCCGAAATAGTATAATAATAACTAAATAGTGTTATTTAGTAGTAGTAACTAATTGTAGTAGATATTAGTAGTTTAACAATATAAATTTGAAAGCTATCATTTTGGATGCGCCAGAATTAGGGTGTGAATACCTTACTCTAATAGTATAATATAAGTACATATATTTTCATTTATATTTTGAAATAATTGAATCAATTACTATCATTTTTTTAGAATAATTATTAGATTTGCAAATACAATTTGTGAAGAATTGAAAGTATTCACATTAACAGTAAGATTCAAAATTCATATAGTTCTGCTTATTCATTTATTTTTTTATTTCGTATCAACAGTAAAGCCGTAAAATCTTCAGAAAGAAACGTTACAATGCTAGTTATTTAAAAAAATTCTTCAATATACAAAAAATTTATTTAAAAATCACTTACCATAGTGATGATAAACACTAGGATCATTCGGGGCCAACTTCATGGCCCTTTTAAACCATTGCTCTGCTTCAGCTGCTCTACTACTCTAAAATTATAAATACAAAAAATATAACTATCAATCTTTATAAATTAGTAATTAAAAATCACAAAAATATAAATGTGTCTTATATCAACTTACATTTTGGGCAAGCATGGTTCCATACGACAGATGGGCCGGCACATGGTCTGGTTGGGCGTCCAAAGCGGCCCTGTGAAAACGTTCAGCTTCTGTCCACTGGTTAAGCCTTGCTAGGGTATCTCCTAGTCTGTGATAAATACCCTGAAATAGAAAAATAAATAAATAAAAATCGATTCAGGTTATATTTGAATTCATCATTAAATTAATTAGTAAATTTTATGTGTAGAGCAGATAGAATTTTTACGTTCACCGAGATGAAAAGCACACTTCAAAGTATTACATAAATCCTTATTCATTGAATGTAAATCAATCAGATATATTTTCGAGGGCTTTCATTACTCAATTCTATTTTCAGCAATCAGACAGCTCTATTTGACTTCGTCCTCGAATTCCGAAGTGCATTTTAGTGACATCAAGTGACGTATGCTTTGTGCGTTACATGCACACAGGTTAAATTTCCACGTATCCGTGCGCGATTGTTTGCCTTTCGGAAAGTACTGTATTAATAGACGTGGATACAGTAACCCAGAGGTAGAAATTTTTAGTTAAATATTATATTTTGAAGAAAGATCGTGGTTTGTAATTTTGATTTAAATAAGTGCATCAAATTTCTTTTCCAGTCTAAAATTTTGAGGCAGATGCTCCTTGGTTCGTCACAAATAAGATTATGCATGACGATCTTAATATAGAATATATAGACAAAGCAATAAAAGTCTTTAATATTGTCTAAAACTGGAAGACTATACGAATTCTTAAGTCACTCAGCTTTTTGAGATACCAGTATTTTATTATTAAAGTCAGTTAATAGTAAGGTCATCTAAAATGAACTATTATAGTATTAATCTGCCTAAATTGAGTCAAAACATACCAATGTAAAACGAAACTAAATAGTTTTGTATTATTTAAAAATTCATTCTAAATTTTAATTGAATTTTCATGAAAGGTTATAAAATGTAGTTATTTTTGTTATTTATTACATTAAGTTTGATAATTACTTATATCATAAATACAATTTACATTATCTGTCCTAGTTAGTTAACTATTGTCGGCTATTACTTATAAATAAGCAACATTGGGTATGAATAATATTTATATTTATGGATAGAGCGGAGTTCAAAAGTGCGCGGGCAAGAAGGTCCGCACACATTATATCAAAAACAAGTAAAGTAGCACATTCTTAACGTTACTGTTTTAAAGTAGAAGATAAAAGATGTGTAATCAGTGATTACCATAGATTTGTGACATCGATATTAGAGGATAAATTGCCATATTTCAATATTTATTACAGAAGTATTTTTTTCGTTCATGGCATCTGAATTCAATTTTTTCAAGTGCATATACGCAATCTAATTTTTATATAAGATGTCTTGTTATTTTTAATTTAGATTCAACAGTTTTATTTTTATAACCTCTTGACAACCTTACATACGGTTGGGATAAAGATGAACAATTAAATATTTACACTGGCATAATTAAACAATAAGAAAACAGTGAGCTAAAAAGTTATTTAATGTAAAATAAGCAATTTTACAAGAGACAAGTTATTGTTACCGAAATTATGTTGATGTATATTTTTGACGATATATCAGATCAAGGTTACGTACAGTGTGATTTTTATAAAAAATGTGATAATAAAATTCGTATGTGAGATATCATTTGTAATATCCTTTTAAAATTAAAAATAAGAAATTTGACATTTTTGCCTTCGGGCAGTTTTGTAAACGACAAATTTTGATAATTAGGTAAAATATTCTTTCTATAATTATGAATCAACTAGAAATTTGACCTAATAACGTTCGATAGTTCTTTGTTTTATACGTGCTAAGTGTTGTGATGTAGTTCATTTGCTTTAGACAGTATAATTGCTGAAAGTCATATTGAACATTTGAGTCCTGCTCTATTTTATCCAACGTTATTTGAAATGAATGGTATATTTCATTATATAAGGTAAAATATGGCACAATATACAAATGATTCAGTAAAAAGTACAATTGCTTTTTTTTCAATTTTAAGTTGTTCAAACCTTTATACAATCTTAATAAAGTAAAAACATTAATGAATAAATACAAGCAAATTTGACAATTTAAAAATAAAAAAATTAGGGTCGATTATCTGAATAAAATCAGTTATGTTATGTTTTGGGCCTCTTTTGATTAATTACAAAAATTGGTATGTTGATAGTCATCAACTGTCAAAAAACTATATTTTTCAAAACAGATATTTACTCAATCCTACTTACTTCTAAATCGTAACCCCCAGTTGGCACAAATGTCCAACAACAATGTTACCATAAGTACAGCATTTTATTGTTACATATAATAACACCTGTGTGAAGTCGAATTATGTTCTGTTCTACGGTTGTTTTAGTATGAAGTTAGGATTTAGAAGTAAATATTGTGTAAGACGCCCGATCGAGCAGCAAAGACGTAGCTTTTTGTGACTACCATCTCATTCGTATATATTGAACAATATAGATCGTTAACATAACATAAGCATTTTAACCGGATCATTGATCATTGATCAATTGATCATTTTTCTATTATGTATCCCATTTAGACTCATTCGTTTTTTGGCCCGTAGGGTAAGTTATAGTAATCGTAAAAAATTCGAAATTGAAAATTTTTATATATTCTTACGTTTCAAAGGTTTATAAATATTTTGGCATACATTAGAAAAAGTTGATAAATGTGTGTGTGTGTGTGTGCGGATACAAATTTTCGCTGACGATTTCGGGAACACTGTTCAACCGATTTCAATTATTCAAAAAATATTCGATTCGTATTGATAATGAGACGTGCTGATTAGTTTTTCGTGAAGGCAGGTTCCGAAGATGCCAAAAACGTAACTCTGATTTTAAGAGAACGGAGCGTCCGATTTTAATAATACAAAATATTACTTGTATTGACAAGATGAAGAACTGATTAAATTTTTGGGAAGGCAGGTCCAGCGGTTATAGACTCTCAATAAAAATGTGTTAAAAAATGTTATTTGGCATATGTACATCAAATTATCGGATATTTTATAGGGATTTTAATAATGCGTGCATATTTTGTGTATTTTTTTTGGGTTTCGAACCGAGATTACTGTACGGAAAGTTCCAGCAATTTGACTTAAGTCACAATGCCATGCACCCCACTAGTAGAAATTTATTTCCAAAAGGCTGCCCAGCTCTCGTTTTCCCTCGAAGTATCACCACGAACCGCTGGCAAGTACGACCGCCGTAGCCGGCAGTAGCGGCTACAAGAGCACTAGAAATGGTCATGGCTGACGGGCCGAATAATTGAATTGTCTGTTGAGCCAACGCGTGCTCGTATATTGCAATGACGTGTATGTACTTTACCGGCGAACGATTTTGCCAAGATAAAAGTCGACAGAACAGATACGGGGAAACGACTGAAAATTATTTATGTTGCTGATTGAGAGGGAAGCTAATTAATTAATTCCAGCGCCGGTCTGAATTATAACAGTGGTCACCAGGAGGCTAAAATTCAAATAATAGTTGATAGTACATGATATAGACAAGCTCTCTCATGTAAATTTTGTAAAATAAACAGATATTGCATTTAAGTTATAGCCAGTGGTGTATAGCATTGTGCCTTAAGGCAAATTCTACTTTTCGTACTAAAAATTATTTTTGTTAGAAAAGTTTCAAAATTATTTTTGAAATCTTTTTTCTAAATTTAAATCGACTGAACCGTGTTTTCAAAATCATTGACAAAAATTTGTATCTGAGCAATCACACACACACATCCGTTTTTCCTACGGAATTTCAAAATGTTCAAAAAACATCTAAAGCGTAAAAATATATAAAAGTTTTCATTATCGTTCTTTTACGATTACTATAACTTACCCTATGGGAAGATAATTGTGGTAACTAATTTATAATTTGGCAGTTTGAAATAATATTAGATATTTTGGAAAGCATTTGGCTATTCGAATTGTGCGCAAAGTTCTGTATTGTCTCAATCGAGATAAAATGTTTTATAGAGTAAAATCCCGCTATACAAACAATAGTTGTATTGTTTTTAACGGAAAAACTAAAAAAATTATAAAAATTTTGAAATTTAACACAATATTATCAGAAAAAGTTTAGCTCGAGCCATGGAAATTTTATTGGATAATTCAGTAAAAAGGAATCAAAAAAACTTAATGAATTTTATCATAAAAATGTTTTTGAGAATCCTGGAAAATCACGTTTTTCTCCACAAGATGTGTCAGTTTATATGCATACCGAGAAATTTTCTAGTTTTCTTTGACTGCAAATATATCGTATTTAAGTACAAATTTCAAATAAACTGATATTGTTTGAACAGCCAACTATCAAGCTAAGTTTATTTTATTATTTATATTTGATATTTTAGTCTCTGGCATATCACTAAATAATATTTTTTTACTTATGATGACGTATTATATAACATCGTTTAAGCTCAGATATCAAGCAAATTGACATTTATTTTGATAGTTCTTATTTTATATGTCAAACAATATTTATTTTCCCATTTTTTCACTTTTTTTCAGTTCAAAACCACATATTGTATGTGCATTTACACAATTGAAAATTATTTATCAAATAATAGGCGTTTATTGACAATACACGTACAGTAGATTTATATATTTAAGAAAATATATATATATATATATATATATATATATATTGTAGAGTGTTAATTTGCAGCCAATCGTCGAAATAAAAAAGAAATATATAAACTATTTATTTATACGTTTCGACACTGTTGTGTGTCATCATTCAGCAATTTTTAATAATTTAAATTTTTTTATTGTTTTTCCTGGTGTGATACTGTAAAAATATCAAAAAATTGCTGAATGATGACACATAACAGTGTCGAAACTTATAAATAAATAGTTTATATTTATCGTTTCTTTTACTTCAACGATTGGCTGCAAATTAACACTCAAAATTATGTCTCAACGTCGAACAAAAAAAAAATCAAAATCTTTAAGGTATATATTTATATATTTGTATTTTTTGGAAATTTTTTGCTTCCAGAGACTCAAATGCTTATAAAATGATAAAAAATATCTTTAAAAGTTTTAGCTTTTAATATTAACTTTAGTATAGTCAGCACTCCAACCAAATATGGATAAAATGGCTTGGAAATAGAAATAACATGAATAAAATT